TCTTTCCCTCTAAACGGCTTTAATTACTGCCCAGTATGTTCCCTTTCCAGGACATGTGTTAGGTAGATAAATTTACTGTGGAGAGCTGAGAAGCAAAGAAGAAAATGGGAAGAATCGAAAGTCTGGTTTGAATTCTGTAATCTAAATGGCTGAAAATGTTCAATTCCTTATCTCTCAGTGGATCGAGCGGTCATAAAATTTTCCTAAAGTTTGACTCAAATGTAAAAGTATGTTAAAAAAAAAGTATCTGCTTTAAACTAACGGATGGAAAATTCAAAATTTACATCCTCTGTAACTCATCTTTTATACTTGGCCACTGCAAAAGTCCCTCTTAAGTGAGCAATTTATTCTGTATGCCATACCTGCTTATATACTTGATCTCCACATGGAGCCAATTTTTATTGCTGAGTTATAAACCCTTTGGAAGTAGGGACTTGTAATGGAAGCGCTGACAGATCTTTAACTAGGTTAGTCTTATCTGGCTCCATTATCTTTGCTTTTGTTAAAGCATTAAATGGTTGCATATTTGTTTATTTTTCTTGCAGTCCCAAAATTTTAACATGGGTATATTATTGAATTGGTCTTTCTTCAAAATGTCATGAAGATGCAGCATTAGAGAGTTTATCAGACTTCACAGTCATCTTTAAAAGTAAATTGAGCTGTTGTGTCTTATTTCAAGATTTTCTTGCTTATACAGTAAATTTACTCTGTAGCATGTCATTATGATACTAATACCAAAGTTTGCTTTTTCTCCTGCTATCTTATTCTAATCTTGAATTTTGCTCTATTAGGCTCCTTTCTGCATAAAATGACTGTGATGGTTTTTTTGTTTGTCCCATTCAGATGAAAAGCCATACCGCTGCAACTTTTCTGAAGAGAAGACCCCGATGGTAGCGTCTCAGTTGGATGAACTCCCGAAGCTGGGAAGCCGCAACGCCAGAGAAAATGAGGCCAGGGAATCAAAACCAGAAATCCCTGCCCTGGTGTCAGCAATGGAAAGTGTCATCAAGGAGCCCTTTTCGAAATACCAAGATCTAAAAGTTTCTGTAGATATAAAGATGCCAGCATTTCACCACAGCCAAGGGCTTCCTTGCTCCAGTCGCATTGCTAGCTTTGCTTCAGGTGTGGGCCAGACGTCTACAAACATGGTCATGGACTTGAAAACGTCACTTGAAGTGCAGGCTAGTCACACTAGAGAAAATTTGCTAGACTTAAACAGGGAGCATCTTCTGCTAGAAAAAGGTGCTGAAGCTCAAGTGGTAGTTCCACTTGATTTGAGTGAAAAATCAACAAGGGATAATTCATGCAATAAAAATCTGAATACATCCTTGCAGGCTGCTTTAATTGTCTACCCGTGTCCCTTCTGCAGTCACAAGACCTACTATCCTGAAGTTCTGTGGATGCACAAAAGAATTTTGCACAAAATCAGCTGTAACTCCATGGTCCCCCCTTGGGTTCAACAGAACGGATTCAAGAGTATTAAAAACAACCTGGCAAGGAGTGGACGTACTGGCCCCCCTCCTGTTCTTGGTGGTAAGGAATGTCAGCCTTTGCCTGTTGCCAGATTTATGCGCACTCAAGTGCCAAGTGCATTGCCAGGCTCCAAAAGCAGCTCTCTTTCTGTCGGGATGACTGCGAAGTCTGGGAGTACGCATCAGTCAAAAGACGGTCATGCCTTTGGCCACTGTGGTCCACGCTTATCAGGTCTGGATGGGTACAGGGAGCCCAAGTTAAACCATTCCCAGGAGCAATACAGCATAGCGGCACAACAAAAAAGTAAATATGAAGCAAATTCCAAACTTTTGCAAATGGGAGCCTATGGCAGAAGCGTAACGCCTACTCAGACAGTCATATCCAGGCCTAGCACACAGGCCACCAACAGTAAGCAAGTGGAAAAGTACATGGTTCCCCAAGGAAGTACTAGTTTTGCCCCTCCAGGTAAGCACTGTGCATCCGACTCCATGAAGGCCAAATTCAGCCCACCACCACAGTATCATCCGCTGTGTAAAAGCGAGCAGTACACTAAACATGAAGAGCCATTGGTGCCTCAGAGGGAGTCTCACATGAAGGCTGGGAATGAGATGAGGACATTGGCAAACTGCACAGCAGTAGCACGAGCGAGTCCTTTGCTGCAGCCCCAGCCTGGTGGCACGGGAGTTTCTCCGGCTTTACACTCCAGCAAACAGGATCTGGGATCAGATGGTCATGAGAAACGTTTGGACGTTTTAAATATCTTTAAAACATACATTCCAAAGGACCTTGCTTCGTTGTACCAAACCTGCAGTGCCAACAGCCCTGTCCTGGATCACACAGGTAAGATTTTCACAAGCCCTTCCATAGCTGAGGACGTGGCTTGCTTGTTCCTGCTTCGTTTGGAGCCACGACACGCTGTTTCACAGTTTCTTCCTTCTCTCCCTTTAATGGTTGGGATTACAAGCTCATTGTTTTTATCATTTCTGGATAGGCTTGAATAGGTTTGTTTACTGATCTCTAACAATGCAGCATCCCCCCTCGTGCACTGTGTGACATTTCTGTTGCAGGTTAAATGTATCTGGTTCCACCTGGAGTATTACAGTTCCTTTGTCCCCTCGCTTCAAGCAGGCTAAAGTTACGCAGATGTGCTGTCACACGAAGAACCCCCTGATATGCTGCTGCTGGCACGCATCATCATCTTTTTGCTTCGGGCAAAATAAACATCCACTGGGGCTTATCTGTGATGTTATTTTGGAGGTTTTGTTCCATTTTGTCTGCAAACAAGTCTTCCAACAACAGAGAGAGATAATCACTTGTCAGTGTCCTTTGTCTTTCTTGCCAAAAGTCTTAAGATCTTCCCTGTCCATATCAAAGACTGCTATGGTATATTTCAAATGATTCTTTTGATCTGTGTGTATGTTTATAATTAAAAAGAGGTAGGGCTGAATATGTGTCTGCTAATTCACATAAGCAGGAAAGGCAGTTGTGCAAATAGCCAGTTTAAAAGTTCAGGGACCAAAAAAAATATCGGAGCTCTCCTTCTGTCTCTTGCCAGTCAACTGCCACGTAAAAAGAAGGAAATAAAAAAAAGAAAAAAGGAGCCTGTGTATTTGCATTTGAAACCATACTCTGCTGATCATGTGCCAGAATTAGCTTGTTTCAGTGGATACTGAAAATCAAACTGATTTATTACTCTTGAGATGGAGGTGTGTGTCTGGGGAGTGGTGGAGGGGGGAAGCCATAGTCACAGCTCTCACCATTTGTAAACCATCACATTTTTTTATATGCTTCTTCTCTTTGTAGAAGTTGTGCAAGAACTGAACTCCACATGGAAAAAGCACGTATTCCAGACTGGTGTTCTAGTGTCCTCACCAGACATAATGCTGTTTTGTCAAAAGCATGTGTGAAATGGAGCTTGTGACCCTATTTTGCAAGTGGGATGAAACCCAGGACATTTGGAAGCTAGTAGTCTAAGGGCAGCTATGGTCTAGTGCCCAGAAGGTGTGTGCGAGTTGACTGCTCTGGCAGCTGTGGGGCAAGGAAGGAGCCGTAGTGTTTGGTCAGGTCTTGGTGGAAGGCCTTTTGGAGAAGACAGGAAGGCAAAATCTATATCTGAAATACTCCATGAGGTGTACCTTTAAGCCACTCCGTTGTCAGTTTTGCTCAATCATTTAAGAAGTAATGCTGCACAGGAGCCGCCTGTTATTTATTACTGTTGAATAGATGGTTTTGCAGGTGCTTAGAGGTTGCATGATTAATGTAACTAACACCAGGCTCCTAGTTTTTGTTAAGGAAGCAGAGGAGGATGTGCTCAGTTTCTAAAACTACTGGGTCAGTGTACCTTTGTCCACCTGACTTTGCTTTTGCCATCCCAGTGCCTAGGAATGTTGTATAAAGTTTCTCTCTGCCTGCTTCCTGCTCTAGGTACCAGTTAATTGTTCCACCATCAACTTGGGTACCTTCACTTGGGGCCCTCCTTGGTATTACTTACTATTACATTGTAGCAGCCTACTCAGAGAAGTCTTACTGATCCAGTGAGCTCCCAGTCGTGTTAAGAGGGATCGAGAGAAACAGTAAAAGCCAGGAACTAGAAGCTGGCTTAGTGAATGCAGGCACCAGAAAAACCATGGGGACTGTTGGGGCAAAGTAAAGTAGGGGCAGGGTTTCCAAGGAGGTCTCTGTTTATTTGCTTTTTAAAAGAGGGATTTTATTGCCAAAAGTGTTTTTTGCTGGGCAGTGATTTCCAGAGACACTTTAACTGGAAGTTATTTAGTACCCATCTCTGCTTTGAAATCTCTTCTTTCATTCCGAGTGTTTTACAGCAATCAGGTTTTCAGGATTTGAAACCTCTTATTTTATGTAGCTTGTCTTCATTTTATATACAACTTCCACGTTGCTGATGGTTCTCCAAACCTATTGGCATGATGGCTGTTTTTCATAGCACTAAAATAAAAAGCTGCTGCAAGCGAAAGGAATGAGATTCTACCAACTGCGAGTAGAGGAGGGTAAATGAACCTTGTCTGAAATAACGCATGGCTGTAGACCGAGCCCTCTGAGTCAGTATGCATCATATAATTTAGTCTTAATATGGCAGTGTGAACGTGGCAATCATGACATAAAGGACAACCAAAAATCCCACTTAGATATACTATTTGTCTTTTTTTTTTTTCTCCCAATTGAATGTTCCCAATAGACTTTACTTGGGTATTTGGTAGACGACCTCATCTTGGATCACGCTAGAATATTTTAGTGTACGGTAGTGCAGTGTTCAACTTCCTTTAGAGTGGCTGGATTTATTTCTAGGATCCTTTTACATTTGTGTTTATTCCAGTGTGTCCTTGGAAAAGAGAGTTGTACATACTGTTGTGAGACAGCTGCAAACACAAAGCTTGCTGCGGCTAGGCTAGGTTTGTTTCACACTGCTCAGTCTTCCCAAACACTTATAGAGAGAATCTGATTGTTATATTTAGTAGTTTTTATTTATTTTCTTCATAGTATTTACATGAATCATCATATTTGTGTTTATTCCAGTGTGTCCTTGGAAAAGAGAGTTGTACATACTGTTGTGAGACAGCTGCAAACACAAAGCTTGCTGCGGCTAGGCTAGGTTTGTTTCACACTGCTCAGTCTTCCCAAACACTTATAGAGAGAATCTGATTGTTATATTTAGTAGTTTTTATTTATTTTCTTCATAGTATTTACATGAATCATCATATTAGGAAAGGATAGGTTATGGCAGGACTTTCCCTGGGGCCCCTTTGAGAACAGCTTTGAATGGGACCTCCCATTCAGATAGTCACGTTCATTTACCTGAATTTGCTCACACTTGTAGTCATCCACCCTCTTTTGTTCACGTACAGGATAACCTTGGTGATGACTCATAGGGACATTGCCTTGCGGCAATGATGCCCATCGCTCAAAGCTCTGAACTATCCAAAGCCTTTTGTGGTGCTCCTATGGAAATGCAACAATGGCAAATATACCTGGAGGCAAACCATTTTTTTCCACCTGCTTTTTAAATAATTACCATAAAGTGAGTGCCGGGGAGGGGTTAGATGAAAGTCCTAACCTGCCTACCTTCAGTGTTTGTACAGTCTACCTTGGCTTACAACAGCATCCTCAACCTTCCCTCATCCACGGGTCAAGTGGGAGCAGTGCGTCCATGAAGGCTGTCGCACCTGGCCCGTAATGGCTGCTGAGACAAACGTATTCACCTTTCACAGAGGGAGACCTGCAGTATAGAGAGATTAAGTGTCTTTCTAGAGGTGGCGGAAAACCACCTGAAGAACCCAGGTCTTCCGGGCTCCATGGGAGCTGCTCTGTCAGTAGCAGAGCCCTGCTCTGCCTGTCCCTGCCTGTCCGGCGGGCAGCACAGCAGTCTGGCAAAGGCCACGTCTGGTCCCTGAACACGCTTCCCTCAGCTTTGCTTTTGAGCTTGCAGCTGTAGTTCTGGCCAGTGAGGGGAAAATGCCAGTAACAGACCAGAAAATCTACTTTAATCTTGACTGCCTTAGAAGGCAAATCCGTTTCATTATGGGACAGTGAAGCTCTCATTGAAATTTATGTGATTTTTTTCTTTATTTTTTTCCTTCTTTTCATTTGTGTGTGCGTGGGTATACGTGATCTGGATTCGCCCCTAAATCATGATCTTATATTTGACTGCCAGGAACTGAACTGTTGGGAGTGAGCGTGTTCAGCTACATTATACAGACTGTGCTGCCATCTGCAGGAGGTGCTATTATGAAAAGAGAAAACAATTTGTGAGTGGGTTGAGGTGGGGTCTTTTTGCAGCCAGACATTTCTTTTCAGTATATGCTGCGGTAAAAACCATCACAGTACACTTGGTGCCGTACTAGTAGAGTAAATGGCAGCCCATCTTCTTTTCCATTCGTTTTCAGGTATTGCATCTGTATTTCGGATGAGCCCTCTGGAATCCTGCAGTTGATTTTTCAGTTGTGGGGGTTTTTTTTGTTACCACTTTTTTGTTCACAATTTTATTCTTTTTAAATGCTGTAACAGGGCAGGGCGGGGGGGAGATGAAAGAAAAGCTGAAACTTCACTTCCACTGACAATCCCCTGAGAATTTCTGTAAAAGCCAAAGTATTCCAGTGGCAAATGGAAACATCAACTCTTTCTTGCCGAGGAGGGTGTTTTACCAAAATAGAAAAGATGATGTTCAAACATATTTTTTATTTAATAATAAAAAGCCCAATAAAAGTCAAATGTGTCTTTTTTGATCAGCAGCAAAAAGACAAAGACCAGCCCTTTAAGTCAGATGCTGTAAACTGACCTTTGGAGAAAAAGGAGAGGTTTGAGCGGTTTTCCACAAATGCTAATGGCCTAGAAAACATGTTTACCCAGGGCTGGGGGAAGGCTGCTGCGCTGCTACCAGCTCAAAATGTCCGGAATGACACTTTCATTCACAGATGTCTTTCGTCTGTGCCTCAGAGGTCCAGGGTCAAAGCAGCACCGGCAGGCAGGTAGGCAGGGGCGAAAGGTTTGATCAGTCTGTGATGGCTCCGCTCGCTCTGCATTTGTCTCTGAGGTATTGCTGCCCGGGGGGGACAGTCGGGCTCTGGTCCTACTCACTTCCTATTATCCATGTGACTTGTCTCTGCCACGCTGGAGTCACTTTGATTTGCCTGATGTACTGCTTGACAAAGCTGGGTGATGGCTGAGAAGTGGATCCAGCTGCTCTGAAAAGCGCACACCTGACATGCCAGTCCTGGTGCGGGCACATCATGGGGAGCATTTTTTAATTCAATGTAATTTATGCATTCTTGCAGTCCTGTGTGTGCCTGGCCTGTCAGCCAGTGCCTAGATGAAGGCTGACAGTTGTCATCCAGGGCCTGAAGGTAGCCTCACATAATGACACATTAGACATACTAATGATGTTTTCTTCTGGCATAATGTTTTCTTCTCAACTTTCCTCTCTCC